GAGGTATCAGGTTTRGTKRTTCTCCCTGGTATCATGGCCCGTATATCACATATTCAGTCAAGCACTGTCAAAGTAAATATAATATATGTCATTAAAATAATAATATCATGAATAAACTGGATTATTATAATAGATGAGAAGTTATACGTCCAATTTAATTTCATCCCTAGTWTTACTCGTCTTCTAGTGTACAGGAAACCCGTTTCAGGTATCAATGCAGATTTAATTTTCTGCCAAACAGAGCAAAGGCTAAATAAACAAGTTATTAATCTACATGTTTGTTTGGATATTTATGTAATCTCAGTCTTTAGAATTCCATAATCACCAAAGCATCATATCAGATCAACCAGAATCACAAATATCGATGTTTTGATTCGATTTTGATAAGATTACCTTTTAAGTGCTCATGAGGTTTTGATGAAATTAGCAAATGACTRRAATGGAGTGATGTTTTGGTAAAGAAACACCAATGGACGTGATGTTGTGATACATGTGGACGATTTTTATCCTTGTAAAGTCATTACCATTTATAAACCCAGACCCGGCTCATCATASAATCGTGGAGAACTAGAACTGATATCCAACCATCCAACATTCTCAAAGGTATACAACATTGTTTAATTGAAAAAAACAACCTTGAACGCGAATCCTTATTGATGATGATGTAGTTTTATCAATATTTCCATGGTAACGATATCAAGAAGACAAGCTTTGTTAATTAAGAAGATGTTTTCGGTTTTGTCACAGTTTTCTCTTAATCGCCCTACAGAATTTTTGGAATCGAATGAATAGTGTTGCAATAACTACAGATTATTACCCAGCTAAGTTATTAAACTATGTCTGATTCAACATGTGCTTCAACGAACGATAGACTATCGGGTGAGCTATCACTGATGATAGTAATTAGCATGCTGGTTGAGTATCAAAAGAAAGTGTATAAACCGCTGTCATGCAATGCCTAATTCATAGCGTACTTGCTTCTCTTTTAACTATTTTTCTCTGTCCTTAAAGCTAATTTGATARCTCATTATACAAAATACGGGTTATGCTAGAATACTCGATATTAGGGAAGACCCATCTAGACTTTTGAGGGGGGAGAGGGGAAAGATTTTGAAAAAGTCTAAGCCGTAAAAGTACACAAGAATTCACGAACTTTCGATTCTTTTAAAGCAGTTTTTGATACAGTAATTTTCTTGTATATCCATTGGTTACTGGTGTATTGTGTCTCATTTACTCCCATCATGTAGTGACCGGTAACAAATACAACATAAGAGAAACCTGTTGCTGTGAATAGCCCTGATAATACACATCACGATTGTGAAAAATGGCGCTCAAACTTGAAATATAAATACATAATGTTACATCAACAGGTTGATGAAATAGTAGGCATCAGAGAATGCAGGCGTCTGTGCAGCAATACCCCAGACCTCCCCGGTCCGCAAGCCTTAGATCTCACCGTACCCTGTCAAACACGTCCATTGACGATGATGACATGTCAGTCACCTCCAGTATATCAGGACAACCACGTCGTGGAAACACTTTACCAAAGATATCGACTAGTGATTTCTCGGCCGTACGGGCTGTCACTGGTATTTCACGCATGAAGAAAGGAAGAAGAGGTTGGTATGCTATTGATATAGAAGTGGTATTAAAACCGTGAAATGGTACAGTACATCTTAGAGGTCTTATTGTTATATCTAACGCTACTTGACTATAACATCTCGACTATTAAAAAGGGCAATCCTTTGAAGTCAATAATTCCGCGTTATTAGCTTTTGTGTATTCTTGTGTATTACAGTTTGATGTTCACGGGTTTAATGTCCTCCTTGTGATCAAACGTATAMAGTTAGGTATTCATACGTTATCACGTTATAGAAAAGCTCTTCAAATSAGCACTAKAKTTCCCTACAAATGATTACGTAGTGGCTTCAGAATACATTGACATTGTTTCGGATTTGTTTGCTCACTGGCTGTCTGGATCCTTTAAGGATATAATACATTGCATAGGAAATACTTTTGGTATAACTGATTTTCACGTGCCGCACTCACACTATAGTMAAAGAGACAAATGRTTGTGYWSTGTACTGCAACTGTACAAACGTTAAGCGCAGAAGGAAATGTGCACTGTGATYAATTTATATGCATAAAATGTACTACATTGAAAGAAAACAAAAMC